CCTAATGAATAGAGCTACTCCCCCTCCTTTACGCGTTTGTATTCTATCGGCCCTTACCAGTGTAAAACCCTCGAAATCAAGTTCCCTACTATCTATAGACGGCGTCAGCCATTTTTCTGTGACTGCGATTATGTCTGGCCTAGTTGAGTCAATCTGTACACCTAGTTCCGGTAGCTTATTTAGTAAGCTCCGGGCGTTGGTATAACAGATCGGAAGCCTATTTCGGTGGCCTCGTGCTTCACCCAGAGTGGCTTCGGCATCATCCTCTATCGAAGCCTCACAACCCGAAAATTTATAATTTTCAGGTCTTTTTCGCCAGCATCTAATCTGAGCTGTAGTTCCTTTTCGGCTTCCCGTCTTTTAACACGGTCCGCCAACGGTAAGTCCTTACGGAGAAAAACTCCTGAACCCTTTGATTTGTGTCCATTTTCTAAGATTAAGTCGCATTCGTTTGCGGATTTGAAAACGACTTTGAGTAGTCTAGACTGATTTGGTTTCAGATGCGCTAGATTTCCTAGTCTATACACCTCTAGCAAGGTGACTCCGGGGATGTTTTTGGGCATAATTTGGTTGAGTAGTTGTTTTATCAACACAATGTCATGCTCAAAACGAGCTTTCGGTTCTGAGCTGTCACTCTCCTTGACTCTATGGAAAATGACTGATCTGTCGCTGTGATCAGACTTCGGCTTTTCGACCCTTTTGGTGGGGGTAGAATTCCCTTTTACGTCATTTTGGCGTTTTTTCCTTACGACCCCTACCCAATCGTTGACGTTCTTTGGAGTAGTAACCACATTCGCGTCAGGCGTATTACGGGATTCCGGAAGGTTCAGGACGACTTGGGAGGTTGAGTCATCTTTTGCGCTGGAAACCGATCGAGCCTTGCGATTTCGGGTTCCGGAAGTTCCCTTCTGGGTACCATTTTTGATACGAGGGACAGAAGAGACTTTTTTTCTCGAGTTTCTGGTTGTGACAGAACTCTTTGAAGGATGTTCTTCCTCCTTAGTAGAGTGTGGGTCGGCAGTTTTTGGACTCACGTGGGCCTGCCTTGTGTCAATCTGCGTGTCGACAGATTGAGTTCTGACTGAAGTATCCCGACCGCGCATGCCGAGACACTTTTTTGCGGCATTTACTATTGAAATGGCCTCGGTTAACAGGCTATTTGCATCCAAACAGCACTGTTGACATAGCCATACACACACATTTTTACTGAACCGCTTGAAAGCTGCAGGTGTTAGATTCGTGCAAACATCGTGGTACCAACCTTTGCACTCATCGCACTGCATGCCGCTATCAACAGGATATCGATATCCTGGGCGGTGGCAAATGCTTTTGTTTCATCTTCCAGTCACTTTAGGATGCGAAAGTGAGTGTTGACTACAAGTAGAAAAAAAAACTATAAACAGTTAGGACCAACGTACTAACAGACACAATGGAAAAAAAGGTACTCTGGAGTACCTACGATAAAACTATTTATGATGCCAAAGATGATACTCTAATAGAATACTTTAACTGAAAGAAATTCAATCAAAGTATAAAAACAGTAGTCTTGATACGTTAATAACGATCAAAACAATAGAATTTACTCAACAAGGAAAAATACCACTGTCCTTTTTAAATAGCGCGCACGAAACTCGACTTAAACACTTAAACAACAAGTACAATTGTTTAATGCTAAATGTACAGAATATGAAAATACACAAAATACACGCAAAAACTATGAAAAATTATCTACAAAATAGGTTTTATGATTATATTTTCACAACAGTTTGAGAGCCTAATTTAAATTAGGATCTGAACGCAAGTATGAAATGGCTACATGTTGTGGTCAACGTCTAACTTTGTTACAGAAGACTGATGTTAATTTAAGTACCTATATTGAACGTTACAAAAAGCTTGTTCGAAGTATCATTTGAATAGTATTTTACAAAATAAAAACGGAATTATAGAAACACTTATGTCACCACAGAGCTTAAAAAATAAAGTTACTTAATAGAAATTGCTTACCGAATGGTTTATTATTCAAACAGCCTGGTTAATTTTGCGTTTGACTCAACCAAATCATGAACATTCTAACGAACAATTAAATCTACAATAATGTTAAGGTCTATTTAAACAAAATAGGTTGCTTTTAAAGTGGGTCATTGTAAGCTAAAACTTTCACCCTTATCATGAAACCTATACTAAATAACTCAGTGATCCTATAGGAAATAAATATATTTGACGAATTCTCAATTCTTTTTAAGTACTCTTAACTCCATTTCTCATATAGTGTATGCGAATAACAATTAATTCAGATGTTAGAGTATTCCATAATAACTCTGTTCACCATTGACTGTTCATGAGTGCACATTGTAGAATGTCTTGAGGAATTTTGAAAACACAACTAAATACCGAATTATTTATCCATGAATATTTCAGTAAGCATGACGTCAAGTAAGGTAAGAAAGTGTAAAACTATATATATATATCAACTAGTTGAACAGAAATTTTAATGGGGTTGAATTCGGAGACTGTGTCTACCCTACCCAATTAAAGAAGAGAATTTCCCCATACAACCTAAATGAGACATCTACTTGGAGGAATCTGTTTATCAATAATTAGCTGAGTAGTAATGTCTTCCGCTGTGGAGAAGAGCCACACTGGTTTGAGTCATTTAAGTAATTGTGGTTGCTGCTGATATATACTGATAAATAAGCTGTCTTCAAATCAAACAAATCTGAACACAGTACTCGATTGACTAATTAATTTGTTTATCTTTCGATATAGTAGAATTACTTTGACTTAGATTGTTTAAAAGAGCGTACAGAATTAAAATTACTGCCTGGAGAACCAACTTTTCCGATGGAATATATTTTAATTATGAAGTATGAAATTATTTACATTTTAACATTAATTTTTCAATTCATATAGTTCTATGTCACAAAATAATATGTTATTTGCATTGATCATAGTTGAAAGTCACAGTAATATTACTAGTATTTAAAATTCCATGTTACAAATCCGATACATATTTCGGCTATATAATTTGTCAACTAAAGGGAGTAAGAAACTGGTATTATTCCCCTATCTATACAATTATGTCTATATGAGGCTGAGCTATAATTAATCGCGAAGTATGACAGATATTTCCATATATAAGAAGACACTAGGTTTTAATTAAGTTCTATTTACTTCTTCAATTAGTTGATATGTGTTTAATATTTTTACTAAACAGTTGTGTATGGTAAGCAGTGATGTTGTGTAACAAGGAGGTATTGAAAACAGCTTTGGATTCAACATTTGTGTTGTGACTTTATAAAAGGCTGTCGCCAATTTGTTATGACTATAAAAAAGAGGGCCGTATCCAATTCGCTATGATCTTATGCCCGGCTTTTTATCACGTGATTTATCCACCAATCGGAATACGACTTGTCTAATCTTAACACTGTGCCAAATAAATGACGTTTGACCAGTATGAGCAGTCTAGTGTCCTTATTAATTCCTTGTCCGCCTGGCCCTTCCAATTGAGTCCAAAAACACCAGTTGCAGCTTCTGCTATGTAAATTATTTATTTCAAACATACTCGGTTTATATACCAGACAGACAGACCACATCACACCATAAAATAGAAAGTAATATTTGTATAAATGTGGCTGTGAACGTGGGAGACAATAATCAATAAACTGAATACAATTTCGGGACACTAATTCGTATAATAATTATAATCGATAGTTCAAAATGAAGCTTAAATCTAGTCACTGAATAGTTATACAATAACAATATACACAGAATAATTGTCCATTAATAGGTCCCGGAAGTTACCCGTACTTATGTCTTCACCAGGATATAACGATTTGTATGTGCGGGAGTTGGTGAATGTTCATTGTCAAATAAGCTGTAATCAAGTACAAACTCCTGCTACTACACAACAACATGCTGCAGACATCCAAAATTGATTTCATCGAACTCCTCCAGCCTGGATGGAAGCTGCGAACAGTCCATAGTGCGATGGCACCCAGGCGAGTGACCCGGCAGATTCCTCGATTGCAGTACACACGAATTCCCCACAAAGTTGGTGCGAAAGTGTATGTGCGGGACTATAGACATGGGTATGATAGATGGATAGAGGGTGAAGTCGCAGAGAGACAGGAGAAAATCATGTTTGAGGTCAGAGCAAACCAAGAAATCTGGAGCAGGCACCATAATCAACTAAGGCCAAGAGAAGCCAAGGAAAAAGTTGAAGTTACAAAACGCGTCCCACTCAATTTATTACTAGATACTTTTCAACTTCCGCCGATACCCACAACGGAGGCAACTGAACCGTCTAATCAAGCATAACATTCTCCAAGTTCTTGGTCGTTACCTCGAAGGAGGTCGGGACGCAAACGCAGAAAACCAAAGAACTTTCAGGTAAACCCACGATTGCGTCGCTATCAATTTTTTCCAAGGGCAGGTGTTAGGATATTCACAAGAATATCCCAAAAATTATCTCGAATGTAAAGTGGTATGTTTTCAGACTCTTCACATAATTCGCATGTTATTTCCTATTGGCCATTATTTACAGTTGTCCTAAAAATGGCTTTCATGTGTCGTTTCCCTATTGGTCAATTTTGAGTTGTCCTAATTATAACCTTTACGTGTCCTTCCTTTCCATTGATTACTGTTAATAGTCATCGTAACTGTGTAAATATGCCTTGTCTGTAAACCATTTTGTTCTGCTGCTGACCCCATAAACAATTCTCATTTGATGGCTGTGTTCTGATTTATTAGAGTTGAGGAACAGTATTGGGGTCGAACTAGGATGTCTGAATTTGGTCAATCGGTAGAAATTCATTTAGTCCTATCGTAATACGTATTATTTGGGCGAATTGATATTATTTATACAAATAAGTTTCAATGTATTCGGGAAATGTTTTATTAATAACAACTAAAGTTTAGGAGTCTGTTAGACAACTTTGATTTATATCAACTAGTCAGTTAATCACTAGATTGATTTCTATATTTTATGGATTTCCTTACCATCAACGATCCATAACTCATCTACGTGTCTACTTCCAAAACGTTTAATCAGATCAAGTCCTAACCTAAATGGAATAAATTATTGATTTCAAGGTCACAATAACAGTGTGTGGTTTGAAAAAAAACTGATCAATCAAAAACGTTGAAATGAAGCGATTTGTATGACTCACTAATTTTATATGAGCTAATAGTTAAAAGAAGTTTAATTATGTTTACTTGGTCATTAGACATGGGCGTAAATGATTATGAACATATTTTAAAGGGTAGAGTCATATTTGTTTTGTTACATGACTTCTAAATACAGTTGCGAGAAGATTTATTTCATAAATAAACATACCATGCAAATTTATGGTGTAATATAATTGCGTACAAATATGCATTATTTCTATTGTAGATTGGCTGAGAAAATATTTTTATACAGAAATCAATAAATTACGTGAATAAGTTTCAGTCTGTTCACTTGGACTGAACGCACACAAACTGGTTATTGTTTTAGTTGACCGATTAAATAATAAAATATGGATTGACCAAATACCTTAATGAATGGCTTTGTCTAAAAAGTCTCGCGAATTCTTGAAACCAATAACTAAAGGTAAGTCTCATTTATACCTCAATATATTTTAAAGAGCATTCTGTATTCCTTTATGGTTCAATGATAAGGGTGAATATTTCGTATAGTTTATGTGGTGTTAGGCGATAATGGTAATATGCAAAAATAAACGTAGGTGTTAAGAGTATCTTTATTCAAGGTTTCAACGTTTATTTATGGTTTACATGATGAGTTTTAGCATAAGCGATATTCAGTGACCTGTATTATTTAAACATATATCATGTGTAACAAGTTTCTCTGTCAAAGATATCTTATTACTAACTCTTTTGAATCACAGGCTCGAAATCACACCACATGACGAAGGAATCTTATAAAAGCAGACGACGATTAGATTATCACGTAGTATTGTTTCCTGTAATAAACGAAGTAAAGATGATCAGTTACTGCCGAATAATTGAAAGTTAAACACTGCATCTAGCAATGGGAAAATATTATTCAAAAACAGTTGGTTTTCTTTTCCTTCTCTAAAAATGTTTATTTATGTTTGAAACCGATCCATATTTCGGTTCTGTAAATGATTTCCTGGAGAACATACCCTTCAGCTGTACACTAAAATGAAATTCAGATCATTTGTGAATCAGATTTGTACTTCCGCTATTTCTTCACAAATCCAGCACTGGTTTTGTATCAGTATATACTAACAGTCCATACTAGATAGACTTTCATGTTTATTTGTCTTGATCAAATGAATACAGAACGATATATAAGCTGAAAATAAAGCCTTATGATCGTCAAAAATAGTATATATATGACAAATAAATCTGAGTGGAATCTTTAATGTTAATGTGAATTCGAACTCCTGATATTTTATATTGACAGCTCAGTATAAATTGATCACACATAAATCGTCACACTAACTTATCAGAACCTTTGAACATTATATATCTATGGTGATAAAAATCTCTTTGTTTGTATAGTTGCATCGTTGAGATATCTAAGATATCTAAAAAACAACCTTCCTGAAAAAACACTAACCGGAATAAACTGTCTAAACCATTTAAACTCTGTTCTCCAAGTCGACGAAGAAATTATGAAGCCTCATGACGAAAGATGAGATTCTTTGAGAAGCACTAGATCGATTTCCCTTCCAACAATTAGAGCAACAATATTTATGGGTACGTAGAACGTCCAGATAATGTGAGGAACCGGGAGGACCAATCAAATAGCAACGAAAATGAGGAGATACAACTTGACAGTACTCGGAATCAGCGGAACCTATTTGACTCAAGCCGGACAGAAAAGGATTTATTTAGGTGAGATGCTGGTGTATTCTGACCAAGAAAAATATAATAATCCACACACTCAGATAGTTGCTGTGATGCTGTTCAAACTAAGTAGGAAATGCACCTATAGGATGAGAATCTCATGGAACCAGGATCATCAAAGCATCATTGAAAACAAAGTAGGAGGGAATCACAATGATTGCTATTCACCCACCAATGAAAGTGATGACGACAATAAAGAACAGCTCTGCGAGAGGCTGCAAATTAATCATATCAAAGTGGTCAAGAAAGAACATGATCATCCTAATGGGAGACCTAAACGCCAAAGTCGGAATCGAAAACAGTGGTTATGAAGATATCATAGGACGACATGGACTAGGAGAAAGGGACGAGAATGGCGAGAGATTTGCAGATCTAAATGCAATCAACAAATGGGTTATAGGTGGCACAATATTCCACACAATAGCATACATAAAGTCATGTGGATCTCACCGGACCACACCATAAAGAATCAGATAGTTCTACTGTACAGATCTGAAACTTGGAGAACTACTACAACCATTATCAAAAAGGTACAATTATTTATAAATGTTATATCTATAGCTTTGGTTCTTACTGTGCCGCGTACTACTAGACTACTTGAACGATAGAACCCGCAACGCCGCAAGAGAGAAGACAGAAGACTAGTAAGTAGGAACTTTTATTCCCCAAAATAGTGTCAAAATATGGTACAGAAATCTCATGTATTTATAGTTATTGGCTGAGAGTAAATTATCATTTCAGACAACCATTAGGCACATAGGGGGTCATTCGTATCCATCCAATGGGAAAGCTACACGTTGACATTCTAGAATATTCCCCTAGCAGTGATTGGATGGAATGTCTTCGGCTCTTTCTGGCCTTCTTGAGGCTTCCTAGAGTTTACTAACGAGCCGTTCTTACAATAAACAATTTTCTATGTATTATAATATCATTTGACCGGATACCATCAGCAACAGCCTACTGCGTGAGAGGACAAACCACCTTTCAGCTGAAGAGGAAATTAGGAAAAGAAGTTAGAAGTGGAAAGGACACATTGAGGAAATCATCAAACTGTTTCATGAGGCAAGCTCTAACTTGGAATCCTGAAGAGAAATGAAGAAGAGGAAGGTCAACGAATATATTGGTTTTGGAATCAGAAGTAGACATGAAAAGAATGAATAGCAAATGGGAAAAACTGGAAAAAATTGCCTAGGATGGAGAATGCTGGTAAGCGGCCTATACTCCTCCATGAGAAGTAACAGACTTCATTAAGTTCTTTAGTGATAATACAAGTGAACTTTATAGAGAAACTCACAAAATTCTCTGACCTATTTCCAAGGGAACAATAATTTCATTTCTTTCATTTACTATAGAATGGTTTAATTTAATGTGTTCAGATTTTGTGTTTGTTTCAAGTATTTTTTACTATTTAAGCTTCATTATATTTTTTTATTTTGTCCCTTTATTTCATTTTACTTATTTAGTAGTGAAGATACTCAGTTACTGAATTACAATAATCCGTTAAATAATCAATATGCGATTAAATTATATCAGGTATTTATTCAGTTATGTAAATTGTCGTTTACGTTCAAGAAAATGCAAATTTCTCTGTATCATTATGCTTATTATATCTTGTCTGTCAGCTATTTGGTTATTGATTACATTATACATGCAAGAGGATTTACTTCATTATCCACCAAATATTAATTTGTATCAAATTTATGAAAAAGAAAAATTACAGATTCATTCAAGTTTACCACCCTTATGGAAAATCATTTTTCCTCTATCTTCTAATTATACAGAACAATGTCTTATTAAACATTATAAGTGCAATGGTAATAATAACGATAGCAATAATAATTCCTCATTATTTCAGTCGTCAAAATGTCAAGCTATTGATATTCTCTTAATTATTCGATCACATGTAAATAATTTCAATCAACGAGATGCTATTCGTAAAACATGGGGAAATCAAGAATGTTATAAGAATTTTGGTGTATCTATTCGTATTCTATTTATTTTAGGCAAACAAGACGATAATAATGATAATATATTAAATTATTCTATACCAAATGAAAGTACTCATTATGATAATAGTATGAGTAACATTGGGATATTACAAAAGCTATACTATGAGCATATAATTCATCATGATATTATACAATTTGACTTTATTGATAATGGTTCTAATTTATTGAATAAATGGATTGGTAGTATTGATTTTATTGTAAAATATTGTATGATTACTGAAAAATCTTTTACCTTATTTCTAGATGATAATTCTTTTTTACATCCAATAAATTTAATACAATTATTACGTCGTATTACACTTACTCAGTATAGAATTTATGCATCTGGTCATGTAGAACGTATCTCTTATCCAGTACGTATTCCGTTCTTGTCTAAATATATATCATCATCAAATTATCCATTCAATATATATCCACCATATATAAATAGTGGAACAATTATATTAAGTATGCCTGTTGTTCAATTATTACGTGTTGGATTTAACCATGTTACAAATATGCCATATGATGATATCCTATTGGGAATTATACTATTAAAATTTGGTATTAGTCCTATTCATTTAAAAAATATTTATACAGAACATAGTTTAGATAAACAAACACTTAAACAATTACAATTTATCAGTATTCATGGTTACAATGATCCTTCAATGATTCATTCGTTATGGTCAACTTTAAATATGAATTACGCTTGTAAAATAAATAAATAAATAATAAAAAGATAATGAAAAGATATCTAAGGTATTTTGTGCACTTTATTAGTTATACTATACAAACTGGAAGTATTTTTTACGCGACAAAGTTCTTTCTTATTATTTCATTTCAGCTAATTCTGTGATTATCAGTGACAAACGAACAAAAAAAGTTTTTAAATGAAGATTAGTTTTCTAATACACTATTTTATGGGTTTATAGTCCTTTCATATGTATAACATACATGCCGTCGGTTACTACTCAGTTCTATAGAAAATGAGTAGCAGCTCGAATAGCTCAGTTGTGACGTTCCATATTGTGTACAACGGCGGGGTGTAGAGCAATAATCCTCTGGAGATTTCAAGTATACCTTGCTAACAAGTGCCAACTTACACGGAAATTCGATCTAGGGATTCATATTGACCACCTTACATCTAAACATGGTGCGTTTGATGTCAAATCATTTAGACTAGTGGATTTACTGTAACGTAGTTTATAGACTTTGATCAGTAATTAGAATTTCAAAACCGAAATTTTTATACTACTCAGTGATCAGTGAATGAAAATATAACCAGTGTGAATGATATTTTAACCCTGAGTTCACAGTTTGACATAAGGACTAATCATTTTTTGAGTTTATTTAACATAGATACATGGCCTCAAAACAACATATTTTTGTTTGCCCAATGTCAATGTTGTTCATTATTTGATGGCAAGTGTTCTTTAGATGCTTTTAGTTGAAAAGCCATAATAATTCTTTAAAGTAATAGATATGCAGTGAACAAGAGGACGTGTGGGGACAATCGAATATATTTGGCACGTAAATTACAGACTATCTCGCTAAAATCTGACAACCATACAGTAAATGGTTAACTTGCAAACTAATAATCAATTGTCTCAATCTTGACCATTCCTTCTGCAAATATCAGTCCATAGTCTTCGATTATTATTGTTCATACATTTTCATACCAATTGCGTTTTGTTTCCATTCTTTCCTTATCGATTTTCTAGTGAAATAAATTCTCTGCCTGACCATCTTCATATACTACTTATGTGAATATAAGCAACCCACACCACAGATATACTATGATAATTTAAATTCATTTTCAAACCAAATATTCATTTCTAAATTGTTAGTATTTGTTTAAAAGGATTGGCCACTTTTTTCCTATCCAATAGCACAAATTATGATCGGATAAGTCATCTCTCATGTAGATAAATTTGTCCATGAACACTTAAAAACAGTTTAGAAATAAACACAGTTAAGTTGTCAAACTAAGTTAGATAATAGTTGACTCCAGTCAGTCAGTTAAAGTAAAACATAGTGCAGTTGTCATTCAGTTCGAGTAACTACATTTCACATCAGTACAATAAGTGGATAGTAGCAAAATGAAAACCAACAATAGTAAATAAATAAACTAGTAGATTGTAAGTTGAAAATGATAAATGAGTTTGACGAAATAAAATCAACTAAATTGTGTAGAAATAATGATTGAGAGGATATTTCCTAATGACTGTTGTATATAGGGACCTTTACATCTACCATAGCTATAAGCTTCTGTTTTAGCAGAATACCATCTTCATTTTGTTCTCTGATTCTATCACCTTGTTTCTATTACTTCATTTTTCAGTTTATCTTAACAGATGACACAATTACTTTCATTGTAATTACCCCTCGTCTAGTTTCGAAATCATTATTGATAAATGCCCTGATGCTCCATAGCAGCTTCATTTTTCTAGTCCACTAATAATAACTACACATTTTTGTCTTAGTTCTGGTTTTTTTTGTCCTACAAACTCAGGTTATTAACAAAGATATTACATCGAATCACAAGCTGATATAAGTTAGATGGTCATTAAAAAGCTGGAAGTACTGGATGGCCGTTTCATCCTAGAGTGGGACTCGTACATCATTGGATTCCGGCCAAGTAGTTTATAGATTAGGCATTCGGACGCAAGACTGAAGGTCCAGGTTTCGATTCCCGGACGAGGAGTCATGGATGTACACTGTCAAGGAGTCCCATACTTGAATGAAACGACTGTTCAATGCTTCCATACTTCCAATGGTTGTCTCACTTAGATCGGTTTGTAATATTAATAAAATTCAGTAACCTTCACAACTGCCTGCTGACAAATATATAACAGATCGCCATTTTAAAAAACAGAAATATATATTTGGGATAGTTAAGATAATAGCTGTTCAACCGTTGAGCTACAACCGCTCTGTATTTTAATATATGTTTCCGTGATTTTAAAAGCATATTTTAACGCAACTCAAGTCCGAAATGAACTAGTTGTCTATCTAAAGTAATTTTAGGAACTCTCATAGCATGCTTGTTGAAATATCCTAACTGTGAGGTGTGAACGTATTCAACGGTTGTAAAATGATTACATCATCACAAAGTTCACCATCGCAGTATAGTTTTCATCACAATCAATTATCAGGTTTGTTTGATGTCTTGCTGAAGTCATTACTAACTGGCTGATGCTTTCCTGGGGACAAAAATAGAACAACGACGATAGTCAACAACTGTTTTTCATCAGAACATTGAATGAGTGTTGTTCCTTGCGTTTTTTAATTGCTGTTACATCATCTCTGTTATTTCTGATGAACTAAATCTGTGAAAATTGTCTGTACACATAATGCTAACGAAATGCGAAATCATACAAAAGCTCAGAAGTTCGACATCCATAAACTTTCACGAATTCTTCGATCAATAAAAATAATAATATAGCTGAGTGCACTACCACAAGTGAGTCATCTTTCGATGGGGATGAGTTTCAAAAATTTTAATTTTGCAAAGTTCAACTTAATTCACACATTAATTGGATAGACTTTGTATGATAAATATTTTCAATAACTACTCGAATAATTATGCATATTTTGTCAAACACATTGACAGGCGCAAATGTTTAGGTGTACACAGATTTAGATTTGAAGTCGGCATATATATATATGTACAGAGAGAGAGAGAGAAAGAGAGATGTCCAAGCTAACTTGTATCGTATCGAATAATTATTTCCGTAAACTTTTCATATGCTTCCTGATTTTCTGTGGTTCTTTAACTAAGATGGGTTCTTGATGGAATCTATAAAATTCAATAGTTTCTATAAGACCTAGTTAGCAATATTTTTAGTCACTTTTGTTTTCAGTCTGAACAATAAATTGAGAAATATCAATAGTTACTGTCACCATAGGAACCTGACTTGTTAGTCTCTCTTAATTTTTAAAAGTTTTTCAATCATTCAGTGTCCTCATTAGGTCACTTACCAAAACATTTATAAACATAACAACTTACTACAACAAAGCTTAATGATTAACATGTTCGGAACATTATGGTGAAAAATTCGTGAGATTTCTTGATAACAATTAGTATGGATTTATTAGTGTTTAGAATTTAGTTACTCCCACTTATAAGTTGTGGTGAAACCGATTTACCATAAATAATCATTTTCATCAAACCGTGTGCAACACACTAGTTGTAAATATGACTGATCATTTCTAACTTTCTAGGTAATACGACAACTCATAGATTACTTCGTTTATTTTATATATATCACTATTGAACAGACAGAGTAGAAATTATATAATAAAAATGAACTAAAGATAGGTAGCTAGCAGATATGCGAAAAATACAAAATGAATTTTGTCGTGATATCCATGCCAATCTAAGAATTATAACTTCAGTTAATTATGTGATATGATGTTTGCATAAAAATATGGAGGATTTACACCACTTCTCTTGAAAGTATTGTAGTGAACAAAACATGACTGGGGACAATCGAATGTACTTAAGCAAAAGTTACAGACTATCTCAGTAAATTCCGATAATCAAACAATGAACAGTCAATTTGCAAATTAACAACCAATTGTTATAATCTTCACTGTTTCTTCTCTTATTCCATTGCTCATGCATTTTCCAAACGATTGCGCTTCATTTCAGTTCTTTCCTCATCGGTCTTTTGCCAAAATACATTCTATGTCTGACCCACACCATATACTACTTATATAGATATAAGTAGACCACACCACAGTATAACATGTAAATTATTATGTTACTTTTATTATGTCTTACTGTATTTCTGATTTGAATAACAAATTAACTCTGTTGTGATTGAATATATTGTGAGATCTTTAGTATGTGTCGTAGATCAAGTTTAACACGAATATCTATTGAACAACTGTTGTTTTAAGCGTGAATTTTCAATAATTCTGAACTGTGAAATAAAATTAACCTTGTATACATTCAAACTAAAAAGAATAAAAAAATCTTTGTAACGATATATATTGTTCTTCAAGAAGTGAAATCAAGAACATTAAGTAGTATTTGAGTAATTATTTACCGTTGTTTAACAAGATCAAATTTAAGATTTTCATTAAATTGTACTGAAAATAAATAGATTTATAGAAATTCAAGAAACTATCGATCAAATTTTCAATAGACTCTTAAAAGAATAAGTTAGATTACTTATTTGAGATAAAGTTATTTCAGTGAGAATTTGACATAGATTATAAGAAATACAGTAGAGAAATCATAAAATGTACCACTGTAAGGTTGTATCATTTATTTTCTCAATACTTTGTCGACACGAGAAGTAACAATGATTGGAAAGAAAGTATTTTCTCTATCTACAATGGCCAACTAACACTTGATAACGAAAATCCACCGATGAATAGTCTTTATTACTATGTGAATAAATGAGCGCTTAATACATTGATGGGATCTAGAAAATTTATTATATGGATTACAGGTCCAGCTAGATGCAATGATTTGTGTGCTTGAAAAATGGGAGTGTAGCAACAACACGCGGTTAAAAAAAGAATGGTCAGAATATGACTGTTGATTTACTGTTCTTGTTGTTGCTTTGTGTCGGATTTTGGTGTGGAAATATATATTGACGTTCTAGTCAGGCTAATTGCGTGTTCTTGATAAGAGTTGTGTTGAAGTCTTGTAGAATAGACACTGGGAGAGAATCTAATGTAGATATTTGTCTAAAGTAAATTAACGTCCCATATA